TTAAAGGGGAGCAAACTTCTGCAACATGGAGGAGAATGATGTGAAGATTTAATGGCAAGTATCTGCCTTCGATGTAAAGCTCTAAATTTTTGTGGCAATCTTACTCGAACCTTTGAGGAGCATTTTGGGTAGCCCCAATTCTTTTTCTCTTGCTGAAGATTCCATCTACACCACACAAACAAAGGGTGAAAGTTAAGTTCGGTTACAGTGTTTTCCCAAAAAAAAAAAAAAAGGAAAAGCGTGAAAGCTAAGTTCTCGTTCTCTTCTATGATGTTCTGCCAAAACTCAAAAACTTAATCCACTGCACTTTTCTTGTAAAATGTATAAAAAAAAAAAAAGAGGGAGGATGGAGGAAGACAAAGGTACCACACAAGTAGACCAACAGAGAGGCACACATTAATTTGTGGCAGCAATTCGCAATGATCTTCTATGAATGACTGTGGCCAAGCTTTTTTGCTTTAAAGCCAAGGTCTTTGCTGATCCTAGAGACATTGCAGTATCCATTTCTGCATTTTCATTTGTCAGGCATCAATGCGTTTCCCGTTTCAGCAAACGTTTCAACTAAGATTCTTATTGTTGTTAATAACTGCATGACCATCCATACAAATAGCAGATGACTTGAGACGTTCGTTTAGATTTTCTGTCTCAATATCTTTCTAAAGCACTTCAATATCTTGATATTTCACTGGAATGAGAAACCAAGTTTGTGGAGATGCTCAACAAGTGAAAAGGTAAGCTCTCATATATCTTTTATAAAGAATACCGCACTTCTTTTCACTTTGTAAGGTATATGTGTAAAAGAACAAAGTTCAGCCACATCTAAAGAAAAATATGACACTTTCATGGAGGACCACTTTACCTACAACAATGATACTCCATTACTCACTACCCACAGTATGTCCAGTGAACGAACCTTCAGAGCTGTTAGTCAAAGACACATCCAGCTTTTGCCAATTTCTCTACTCAGTAAGTATTTGCTCTAGATTCTGTACTCAGTAACCTTTGGCTCTAGATTCTCACTTTACTCTTTCACTGATATTATTCTAGAAAGATATTCAGATGATATCGTGAGTCTGTGACTGACAAAAATTGTCTAAAAAAAAGCTGATTTTTACCTATATATTCACATTTTTAGGTATTTGATGACAGCATTTCTCTTGACTGTACTGTTTCATTTTCTTAATAAGTGATTAACTAACCTTGAAGAAGAAGTTTTGACTTTAAACTTCAATTGGACTTCTATATGTCTCATGTTTATGAAGGAAAAAAGTAGCAAAAGGTCACAAAGCCAACAAGGAAAAGTGAGGCAAACTACACTTTTCCACTTTAGAGCCGTAGTGAAAGATATATATGGAGAAGCTATTTAAACCACAAAAAGAATCAACAGATATGATGTATGAATCGCTATTTTTGGATGGCTGAAACACTTCGTACCCTTGTTTGTTATAGGGGAAAAAACAATCAAGCACGACCAGGTTTTCTAGCTTTAAGATGCTTCTCAAACTAATATGCAAACCCTTGGTGTATCAATTCCTTGAAGCTCATTTGGCAAGCCTCTAGGCACTGCATCTGCTAACAAAATATTGGCACTAATAGTTACGTTTGATACCCAGTTTACAATTATATTTCTACTATGGGAAAGAGAATTTGATGGTAACAGAGATAGATTAAGATGAACAACTCAGGGTTTGCTTAGGGAATGTTATGTCCAAAATTCAAGTCCTGCCACCCATGGCCTCTCAACTGTACCAAAAAGACAGACTAAGATGATAAACTTAGCTTTATAACTAGCATCCATTCACTTTATGAAGAATATATCAAAATAAAACACATTATACTACAAATACTATATGGATATAAGAACAGCAACTAAAATTTAAAACAAAAGACAGCATTACCAGAAAAACTAGCTAGGCCTAGTCACTCACCTGGATCAGTCTTGTTGAGGAGATCAGATATTCAGATGTCACCTAAGTGAAGCAATGTTGTTCTCTCTATGAAATATGGGAATTGGATTGAAACTGAGATCCAACAGGGTTGTTTTTGCATGTTGAAACAATGGCATGAGAATCTAACCAGTGGACATGCAAGAACATGACAGTAAGCAGCCCAAATGCTTAATGAAGTTATTTTATCTGGACAAAAGGATTACGTTTTACCTCATCATCAACATAAAATGAATGATGCCTAGGAAAGAGCTATTAAGTATATTAATACCCAATTAAGCATTCATGATTTCGCATCCCTTAAACCCATAATTCAAGTTTTCTAACTTAATTCTCAACCAAGACAAAACGGCCAAATATATGCAATTTCCATCTGAATACTCAAACTGAGCTTAACCACACACGCTACCCCAACTACCTAAAGTTAAATTCATCTTTAAAACTAATTCAACCCCACTAAGAATATGATTCCTTTATGAAAATAATTTGTTGACAACAAATTCTATCTCTTATTGTAAGGAATATAAACATGAATTAGTTAACATACATTTACTCATTCAATATCATGTAACTATTTTGAGAATTTATTGTTAACAAGTTCAGTTCTCAATAAATCATTGTGGATACCGTAAGGCAGAGACAGTTAAAAAATTCACAAAAGAGAAGGAAGCAGGTTAAAGTTGTGAGGATACTATAAGATGCAGGGCACGGGTCCTCAAAATTGCAGCACCGAAACCCACATGAATCCACAGAATTCAAATATGGTTTATTTGGACATTTTACCCGGAAAAGTGAAGTCCAAATCAACTATGACTCTCGCTTGGATTGGATTGGATGTGATTGGGCTTTTTATTTAAAAGGGTTGGTTTGTATAATCGGGCTTGATTATTTTCTTACAGGAAAAGGAGAATTTGGGCTTTGATAATATAAGGTCTTGGTGATATTGTGAAGAGATTAGGGGCAACTTTGTAAAACTAGTTACATAATTTTTGCAGCCAGGGTACGGGCCCAGCACGTCGAGTACTTCGCACTCACAGCCCCCAACCCGCATCAGCAGCGGGTACTCCTTTTACTTTCTTTTTTTTTTTTTTGGTTTTTTTAATATATTATACTTATAAATATTACGAAATATTACAATTTTATAATATAATATATTTTCATATAATTAATTTTTTAATTAAAAATTTATTTATAATATTATATGTATTTACTATTTACTCATTTACTATTATATCATATTTATTTTATACAATTTCATAATTATAAATTTATAATTTTATGTGATATTATAAATAGAATTTTATTGTATTTTTTTTTTAATTTTTTTGTCACATACACGGAAGTAACCTTTCCTTGTAATTGTTATTAAAAAATAATTAATAGTTTATAATCGATATTTAATAATTATTTGATTTTAAAAAATAGCTATTAATTCTTTTTAAATAATTAAATTAAACAGTACCTTATTCGTTCAAGCACATAGAAATATCTTTATGGTGTGGTCTTATCTTTAAATTAGGTTTAGCAATCTGTTGAGTTCATAGCCTGGTATTTATGTTATGGGACTTGAAATTAATACTAAACTTGTTCATAAAGATGATATATTAAGTAAGAAAATCTCATATTAATAAAATAATGAAGAAATCTGTGAATTAAATATAAAAAATTAATTTACCTATTATCAATTGATCTTAAATTAAATACAAGGTTTATGTTAAAATATTTATGCATAATTTTCATAAATAACTTAGTTATTATTTGGATAATATATAAATAAAGATATACACCTTAAGAATTATATCATTTATTAAAGAAAAAAGAACTACATCACCTATTATCAATTTCAACCACCTATCTCGGATATCAGTCTCTTGTGCTTTGAAATCCCTAAGGTTTTGGAGGTAGCAGGTTTCACCTTCAGGATTTTTTTTTGGCATAAGAGCCCCCTTTTTTCTTCTCTATTGCTTGTTTTTCTCCGCGCACTTACTCTTCCCTTATGTCTTTGTGTTTTCCCTCATGAGTTTTGATTCCTTTTGTTCAGATCTGGGGACTGCTTTTAGACCTAGATTCAAATTTGTGACTTGGAGTGTTGCGACGGCAAGGAACGATTTTGGGTGGGCTGTGGCGAAATAGAGGGGTGAGGTTTGGTAGTTCCATTAGCGATTTGGGGATGACAGGTGGTGAAATTGAAACATTGCCCAACTGGGTTCGCCTTACAAAAGATGAAGATGGCTTTTTTCTGTTGTTATTGGTCTGGAAACCAGATGATTCCCAATCGAAAGAGCTGCGATTGGTGGGAAAGATTTTGTCCAGGAAGAGGATTCATGCAAGGGCAACTGGTGTTAAGAATACATCGGTGGACTCTTTCCCTCTACTTGTCGGTAAGTGTCCCTCTGGATGGACAGAGCATTGTAGTGCTAGGAGACACTATATCACCAAGTTCACTGATCTCTTATGCTAAGTCTTATGCTAAGTTGGGTGGTACAATAGATGTGATTGTCAATAGTGTCAGAAAACTCCAGTGCATTCTTTCTATGTCATTACATAACTCTATTATATCTCTTTAACATATACTGATATGTAGAGGTTCCTAGTTCCTAATTATCTCATTTGTATGGAGCACTTAACTCTATATATTAGTGTCATTGGTCCTTCCTAGCTTTTCTTCTTCCATATTAGCTTATATGGCAAGATATAGTTTACTTTATAATTGTTTTTCAATTATTAATACAACTATACTTCTTTTAAAAAAAATTTTCAACCACTTGTCTCAATCAGGTTGAATTTTTGGGAGAGAGTAAATTTTTCGGATATATAATATATAATGGACCATGATTAGTGCACACCCGGATTCAGCACCCGGGTGTGCACACTCCACATAAAAAAAAAAAAAAAAAAAAAGAAGACCAGGTATTCTCCAATTTTTTTTTTTTATGCGGAATGTGCACATCTTAGTATTGAATCCAGGTGTGCACACATCATTTTACATATATAATAGATGATCAGTTGAAATGGAACCACGCTAGAACATGTCCTACGGAGAAGCTATTACTAAAGTATTATTCTTCATATCAACGTGAGGAAGGTATTTGGCACCTTCTACATATATGTACAGAAAACATAGAACACAAATTTAGGGATTTTTGTTCATATTCAGGAATTAATACTTAATTAAGAGCATGGAATTTGCATAAGGGATCACTTCCTTGTCCCGTAATCAAAATCCTACTATTTCATTCTTTAAGAGATATTTAAAATTTTTAATGGTTTGAGTATTGGATTACTTTAAGTTTTTTAGATTCAAATTTAAGATGGTGAAGGGATAATTGAAAACTACAAAAAATAAAATAAAATAAAATAAAATAGAACAAAAACACAACAAACAAAAAACAAAAACAAAAAATAAACAGCTGGCAATACTTGAGCCTTTTAAAGACAGGTTTAGTTGGCCCAATGATTTGATAAGGAGAGCCTTATATAGGAATGAGACATTCCTATTGCATTCTTTTTTCTTTTTCTTTTTCTTTTTTTTTTGATTGATTTTTTTTGGTAAATCTTAAAACTAGTTGTTTAATATATTATAGTTTTAAATCTTTTATTTTAATTTCAAATTAATATTTTTAAATTTATTAAATATTAAATCAACCTGCCTCTTGATAATCTAGTCAAATGATTCCTTCTTTTAGTTGGTGCATCCTTTGTAACTTGAATCCATCCTCATTATCCACCAATCAATAATCATGCCCATCACATTAATTAATTTCTTATGAATTAATTAAATTTATAATATAATATATGATTATATAATTATTTTTATCTAAAATTTACTTATGATATTATATATATTTATTTAATAATATGTCATAATTATAAATTTATAATTTTACGTGATATCATACTTATAATATTATTGATCTTATTAACCTTGTGACCAAAGTTCCACCCCTTTTAAGGTTACAATTTGATAATTTTTTTCATAAATATATTAATAAATGACATACTTTTAATTAAAATAATCATAATTTTAATAAATGAAAACTTAAAATGGTCATTTTAGCTATCCAATTACACCATAAAGCTTCACATATAATTAATGCCTAAGTCACCCCAAAAAGGAATCAGACCTTTAATATTTTTAGTAAAGAAAGAAAAGAAAGAGAAAAGAATAATGTCTCCTGAAGAACTCTCAAGTGCAATTTGGTATCTAAGCCAAACTTTGTACTTAGCCATTGTGCAACCCCACCAAGAAGGATCTATAAATACGGACTCTTTCAAGTTACAACGCCATCGAAATCTCCACATTATTTTTCATCCCAAGAAGGCAACGACAGAGCAATGATGAGACATACAACCAACATCACCGCTGTATCCAGTGCGGCAGTCGGCAACGAATTCCACAATTGGAACACTCCCACTCCTTACCTCTTTGGTTGGTTAGCGTTTATGTTGGTTCTCATCGCCACCGCCTTGGTCATCCTGGTTTGCTCCTGCAAGAAAGCACCGCCTCCCAACAAAAAGGACGCGCCGAAGCGAGCGCACATGCCTCTGGAAATGGAGCCTAAGATAGTGGTCATCATGGCCGGTGATGAACTTCCCAGGTACCTTGCCAACCCCGCCGGATGCGTCTCTTCCACCAGTCACGCTGATCAATTTTGAGAGCCTTTCTTTCACGGGACCACTGTTTTTGATCTCGGTTTCTTTTGGACACATGCTTTGATTGTTAATTTTGTGTTCTTGTCGTTCTTGTAGTTGAAGTTCGGCAGTAATATGTAAATCTTCGTGAGTTTTAAAAAAAAAAAATTTTTGCGTTTGATCGGAAAATTTATAGTAATCTTCTTTCTTTCTTTTCTTCTTCTTTTTTTTTTTTTTTTCCTTTTTCTTTTTTTCCAGATTACCATCACCAGTTTCAAAATTCCAGCCGAGTTGATATTTAACCATATGTATGCAAATTGTTGATATTATGACATTACACCAAATTCATAGCAGTTTAGAAATCAAAAAATTTGGCAAACACTATCATCGTATAGCAATTTAGCTATGATCATTAATCACTAATTACTAACTTTAAACTATATACGTAACCAGGAATTAGAATCCTTATACTTCTAGTGTAAGACAAGAACAAAATGATATGCAACATTTTTTTCTTTTTTTGTTTTTCCGACATGTACAACCTTATTTAAATAATTTCAAAGGCGACTCTTAATTCTAAGTGAAGTTCTGGCTCTCCGATGATTGCAGAAGTCAAAATCCTCTTAAGTGAGGCAGAAAAGTGTGGAGAATATTAGTGCCTATATGACAACAGCTCTTGGTTTAAGTTTCGGGGCGCAAATTAATGGTTTCTTTTTGCTTTTCATTCAATATAATAACCTTTATAGTTAAATTATTATCAAGGCTGATTTCTCTTTAGATTCCTCAAATATTGGCCCTTCATAAGCCGAATCGTATTTTGCTTACTTGCTTTATGTATTAGTGATTCCCATTTCCCATTTCTAGATTCCTGAATCTAATAACTCAGTTTATAACGGTTGGTAGTAGTATGTGGTTTGTCATGATGATGAAAGCAAGTAAATATATATGTATACCAATAAATTTGATTGTCTAATCTTTTGGTTCAAGATGGTTCTCACCTATATATTGTGTTATATATTTAAAATGATCTTAATATTTAGGGTATATAATTAACAATCTAATTAGTCTAGTAACAATTTTTTTCTAGTAAAAGTAAAAGATTTTGATTTAAATTTGAATCATATAATATACTGATGGCATGAGTTAAAAGACAAGCAAAAGTTGTTACTCACTGTGCATTCCATAATTAAAAAAGAAAAAAAAAACATTTTAGAATGTGCAATAACATCACTGTGATCAGTTAAAAGACAAGCAAAAGTTGTTACTTACTGTGCAATCC